AAACCATTCTGGGATTCCCTGATTTTAAGAAGTGGCCTCAGGTAACATTTCTCTGGCTCCTAAAAGACCCATTTTCCTATTCTCAACACATCAAGCTTTTCCAGAGGCAGAATCCAGATATATGTGTGAATAATCCGCATAATTTTCCTGGCTTTTACAGAGCCTCCTTAGCTGGGTGGTGTGATGGGAAGAGAGCAAACATGGGAAAAGGCTGATCGCCTCACTTCACTGTGGTCTCCACGTGTGCTGCTGGAAAAGTCATTTATCCACTGCATTAACCCTCTGTAAAGGGGAGAGAACATCACACCTGCCATTCTGCTGATGCCATGTGGATAAATATCTTGGAATGGGCCCTTTGGATACATCCCAGGAGCTGCTGGCACTGCCAACAGTGCACGGGGCTGCCATGAGAGGTGGGATTCCTGCTTGTGCATGAGTAATTACACCACAATCAGTATTTTAAAATACCTTGTCCTCTGCCTTAATATCCTGCCTTAATTATTAAGGGCTTTTAAAAGCATTTTGGAGGGTTTACAATTTTGTTAAAGCGTTGCCCTCAGCTCTTGAAACTTGGAATAGCTGAGCTTTATATCCCATCCGAGCTGTAGCACCCAACGACCTGTCAGTCAGGTGAGGGAGAGTCACTTGTCTCGAACTAATGTTATGAATTTATTCAGCTCTTCCTCGGCAGTGTAGCTATAGACAGATTTCTAAATGCCAAAATACAGGATTATAAGAGTGTCAAGCTTCATTTTGTTTTCAGTTCACAGCTAATTAGCATTGATTTTCATGCCGATGTTCCTGCATATTATTACACCAACATCACAGAACGGGGAGATGCTCGTTCTTACCCTGCCATCATCCATTTTAAACCCTCGCTGGAGCAGGAGGAAATTGGGGTTTGGTGCCTTGGCAGGGTCTGAGCCACGCGTGGCAGTCGAGCTGCTTAAACCCTGTTTTTCCTCGAGCGAGAATTCCCTACAGAATTCCCTACACAGGCAATGCGGTCTCTGATTTGAAGCCTAACCCCTCATGGCTGCCCAGGAAAGTAGCAGGAGCTCTGTTTCCAACATCTGCATAAGGTTAAGGATTGGGAATGGACCGGAATTAGCGGGTACTTGTGACCTCAGCGCTTCTCCCAGTCAAACAGGCCGGCTCAGATCGCGTGGCTCACACGGCAGAGCGAGAAATAATCTCTTTTCATCTGTTAAGAACTCGAATATGACATTGATAAGCCCGGCAGAAGAGATAACAAATGGGTCTGTGTTCAGGAGGCGGCTGTGAATAGCGGCCCTAAATGAGGCAGGGATTACACGGCGGCCCGGGAGAGGTGCAGATGTTTCTGAATAGCTGCTCGTTAAGGTGACAATACAACTCCGTGGGCTGAATGGGAGCCGGGAAAAAAAATAACCCGTGATCCCGAAATTAATGACTATCCCCACGTACTCACGAGGGAGCCCACGCTTCCGACACACAGGAAGCACGCATTTCCTAATCCACAAATGCCTGACCTTGAACCTTCATAATGTTCTTTTAATGTGCCTCCCCTCTAGCTGCGCACAGAAAGGAGGAGGAGTGGGATGTGTAAGGCCCGTGGTTTATGTGTATTGTTCCATACTTTCCGTGGATGCTTTAGGAGTTGGCGTTGAACGGAGAGAGAGATTTGGAGGGCAATTTTACATTTAAATCGTGGAGCACATACTCTGAAACCGAAAGCACTTGTTCTCAGCTGATTTATTATAGCAGTAGAAAGCGTTCGGACAGATTACTTGTGAGAGCAGAAAAACGTATTTTGATATTCCCATGAAATCTTATATCAGATTGGGAGTCATTACCACGCCAGTACTAGATTGTGTGTGTGTTATTAATACACACAGAATGTTTTCTTGGATGGAAAGAGGAGAAACTGTGAAAGTCTAGGATCAGATCTGGAGAAAAACGGGGAATTTGAGCAAAGCACGAACCTCTCTGCTTTATAAATCCAGATCCAGACTGCGTGTGAACAATACTGATGGAAACCCCAACCCCCACCGCGTTATCAAGATATGGGAAAAGGCATTAAACTTAAGAGTATGACATGAATAATAGTTTTATGGGGATTAACATATCTGGAGCAGCTTCCCCAAGGAATGACAATGAGCTGGAGGTTTCTGAGCAGGCAGGAACTGGTTTATTGATTGTCACCGGTGCCCAGGGCACTGCAGGGCACCCCAAAATCCCTGGGGTTTGGCAGGGTGATGCTGGCAAGCTCTGGAGAGGAAAAAACAAATCATGTAAACATGATCTCACTGGGAAGAGTGGTGATGGAAGCTCTCTGCCCGTGATGAGTAAGTGTTTCTCGTGCGTTAAAGTTTCCACATTCCTCACATAGCTGGATGAGGGTGGATTTTCCATGTGAGCTGTGTGAGGGAGATGTCTCCCCCAGCCCCGGGGCACCAGTTCCTCCTCCAAGGTTTGGCCAAGCCAAACCACCAAGGAACGGGCAGCATCAGCACTGGCTTTGGTGCATCTTGTGTCCACGTGTAGGAAGGTGCCCGAGGAACTGAACGGGAGCAGATGTTCACACCCAGCTCCCATCCAGGATGAACAAAGAGCTCTTTCAGCCCCGTCTTCTTCCCTGCTTGTATTTCACGGATACTGCTCTGTTGGCATGTTGGACTCAGAGAGGCAGAGCAGGACCTCCAGAGCTCTGTCCCACCTGCCCCTGCCCATGAGGCTGCCACGTGTTTCAGTGCAGAGTGGAAGGGGAGGCAGAAAAAACAGGATTTTCTGCCCTTTGGAGAAGACCTGACAGCATTGACACAACTGTATTTTTCCAGATTTATCTCCTCTTCAGATATTGACAATTGAAAAACAGGGAGAAACCCACCTTGCAGTGAGCATTAAGTTTCTTTGCTTATTCCTCCCATTCCGCCATATATCCAAAACCCTGGTGGACAGCAGGGTTGGATGGAGGCTGCAAAAGAGCTGAGATTAGCTTTAAATTAAAAACAAAAAAAAAAAGAGATGGAAATCTGTTTGCTCCAAGGCTTTACAAATAAGGCACACGCTGCAAATTTCAGTGTTTCGCTCGTGATTTCCAAACGGAAACCAAATTCTTTGGAAAATTCATTAGAGATGAGTAATTTGACCAGATGAAGATGCGACACGTCACAGCAAAGTCAAAAATATCAGCACTGAGCTTTGAAATGTCATGTTTGGGATTCTCCTGTGTGAGTCAGTGCAGCATCTCCCTATGGTCAAACATGCACGGGACGGTGGTGCTTCCTTTTTTCAGCGTGTTGTTGTAAAACTTGATGAATTGCTCACGTTTCAGCCCAGAACTGGCACGGAGACAGTTCATGACCTGGATGACTCAAGAGATAAGGCCAAGACCCCACCTTCAGGAAGGACACTCTTGTGTCCAGCTGCGCCAGGCGAAGCCTGGGCTGAGCAAAGCCTGGTCTGAGCAAGGAGGGGAGGCAGGCTCTGCTCCAGCCCTCCTCTGCTGGCAGCCCTTTCCGAGGGCATCTGTGTGCCATGCAGAGCCATATGGGAGAGGAGAGGAGCACTTGAAGGAGAGGAGTGTTACGAGCCGCTCACAAACCAGCCCTTGTTCGGGGCTCTCCCTTCAGGAATGATGTCAGCCCTCAGCCAGTTTGGCTTGGGGTTGTATCCAGGAAGCTGAAAAATAGGAAGTTAATGATGGGCAGCACCGATCTCTGCTCTCTGGTGACCTGAGGGAAGGGCTGGAGCTGTGCCAGGGCAGGGTCAGGTTGGATCTCAGGAAAAGGTTCTTCCCCCAGAGGGTGGTTGGCACTGACCAGGCTCCCCAGGGCAGTGGGAACAGCCCCAAGGCTGCCAGAGCTCCAGGAGGGTTTGGACAACGCTCTCAGGACAGGATGGGATTGTTGGGGTGTCTGTGCAGGGCCAGGAGTTGGACAGGATGGTCCTTGTGGGTGCTTTCCAACTCAGGATATTCCACAATTCTACACTTTTGTGAGATCCCGACATGCTCCTTGTGACCATATTTTGGGGGAAAAGCCCCTTTGCCCACCATCACGAGCACCACCCTGCTGAGCCAGCCCTGCGGGGCAGTCCGGGCTGAAGGTGGGCGGCTCTCCTGAGCCCAGGGGCTCTGCTCAGCCCTCCTCAGCATCCGTCAGCCCTCCTCAGCTTTTTTCAGCCTTCCTCAGCCTTTTTCAGCCCTCCTCATCCCTCCTCAGCATTTTTCATCTCTCCTCAGCCTCTTCACGTTTCCTCATCTCTCCTTAATTCTCCTCAGTCTTTTTCAGCCCTCCTCAACTCTCCTCAGCCCTTCTCAGCTCCCCTCAGACCTTCTCAGCCTTTTTCAGTCCTCCTCGTGTCTCCTCAGCCCTCCTCAGTTCTTCTCATCTCTCCTTGGTCCTCCTCGTGTCTCCTCAGCCCTCCTCAGTTCTTTTCAGCTCTCCTTGGTTCTCCTCATGTCTCAGCTCTCACCCCTCCTCAGTTCTCCTCATTCCTCCTCGGTTCTCATCATCTCTCCTCAAGTCTCTTCTCTCATCCCTCCTCATCCCCGCCTGAGGCACTGGACCACCCTGAGGGACCCTGGACCACCTGTCCGCCCCTCTGGAGGCCACACAGCCCCACATACCGCAGATTCCCAAGCGTAGCGCTGACATATAAGGACGGCCTGTCTAAAATTTTAAAAGAACGCCACAAAAACGCCCTTTATTGTCCCGCCGCTGCCCGGGGCGCCGCGCCGCCCTCACGCCGCCCTCCCCTGGCCGAGGGGCTGCCCCGCCGCGCGGCTCCCCCAGGGGGCGCTGTGCTCCGGCGGCGCGCGGCGGAGGGGGGCGTGGCCCGCGCGGGAGGCGGGCGGTGATTGGCGGGCGCGAGGCTATAAATGGGGGCGTGCGGCGGGGGGACAAAGCAGTGAGCGCGGGACCGGCGGGCGGACGGGCGGGAGCAGCGGCGGCGGCGCCTCCGCGGCTCTGCCACCTCCACCTCGGCACTTTTTTTAAATTATTTTTACCTTTTTTTTTTTTTTTTTGCGAGGAAACCGTATTGTGCGTGGGTTGGTTTTTTTTGTTTGTTTGTTTTTTTTTTCCTCCTCTTCTGTCGTGGCCGGCCGAGGGACTAAGCGGAGATCAATGAAGGAAAGAAGAGCGAGCCAGAAGTTATCGAGCAAGGCGGTGATGGATCCCAACCAGAACGTGAAGTGCAAGATCGTGGTGGTGGGGGACAGCCAGTGCGGGAAGACCGCGCTGCTCCACGTCTTCGCCAAGGACTGCTTCCCCGAGGTGAGAGGGACGGGAGCGGGCTTGGGCTTGGAGCCGGGATGGGGTCGGGGTTGGGGTCGGGTTCGGTCCATGCTGGCGGGCTGACCCTGCGCTGTCTCCCGGCAGAGCTACGTCCCCACGAGCTTCGAGATCGACACGCAGCGCATCGAGCTCAGCCTCTGGGACACCTCGGGTGAGCGCTCCCTTCGCATCCCGGGAATCTGGAGGGGGGGGGATCCGCAGCTCCCGCAGCCCCTCGCCCTCTCCGCATCCAGCTGCTCCTGGGTGCTTTTTTGTAAAAAAAAAAAAAAAATCCGAGATGTACTTTAGGGATATACTTGGGCTGAGGGTGTGGACGATTCGTCAGCATTGCAGGGGTTTGTGTCCTCACCTGCCTGCGGCGAGCTCAGCCGGGCAGCTCCGGCGGCACCTTCGCTCCGCTGCTGCCTGGAAACCCTCGTAGGAGAGTGAAAAGGTGTTTTTACGGTGATGGCAAATGACATCAGCTCGCCTCGGAGCTCCTTGATGCCTGCTTGGTGTTTTATAAAATAGTAGACTTTTTTTTTTTTCTCCCACGATGTTTTAGAGAGTCTTTAAGGGCAGGAAAGGCTTTTTTAGGGAAAGCCTTTAGCCATTATCCCCTGTTCCTCTGTTATCCCTGTTCCTCTAGGATGCAGAAGGAACCATCCCCTTCTACATAATGAAATAAATTTTGAAGGTCCTCTTCGTTTTTCCAGTTGCATCTTCAGTGACCATGCCAAAAACTGGCTGAAAGGTTGAGTTTTTTAGTGCTTGGCTATCTCAGTCGATATGTTAAGACATGTTAAGACATGAACTCTCCTAGATCTTGATAATTTGGACTGAGCTTAGAGCCAGGGGGGTGAGGATGCACCCCTAAACTTGCTGCAGAGGAGCGTGGGCAGCCAGGGTGTCTCTGCTCTGGATAACTGAGAACTCTGAGGTGTCCAGGGGTGAGTGACACCAGGAACCATTAACAGAGGTGTGGGAGCATCATTATCCACAGAACTGATTGAGGAAAAAAAACCCGGAGGAACCTGCCAGGACACACAACCCCCTTTCTTCTTCAGGCAGCCCGTGGCGATGGCTCGTTAATGCTGAATTTGGAGCCAGCAATTTCTGCTCAATGTGACAGCAGTTCTCCTACCAGAAATGAAAATGTTAATCCCTCTTTAAAAAAAGGAGTTCAGGAGGCGGGTTGGCTTTCCTCGTGCTCTTGAAGAAATGATTCCAAATTCTTGCAACACGATTACTGGGAAAAGGCAGTCTCAGCCCACAACCAGTATCAGCGTGGCTCTGAGCTGATTTTTTTTTCTTCATCTTATGCCAAGTGAGACTTGCAGACTTCCAGAGTGTGTCTGGTTTGAGCTTTCATCCTCATTACTAAGCTGGCTTTAACCGTGGAATGAGGGCTTATTAAAAATTAATGGTTATTTTGGAAAATTTTATCTTTAGCTATTAAAATACACAGGTGAAGCTGTTTGACATGGGAAGGTTTGGGATCTGGATGTCAAAGGCTGGAGACACCCATGTAATGAAATATTCCATAGCACTTCAAAAGGCAAATGCAGTGGAAGGAACACCTTGGCAGCCTTTTGTCCTCTTGGGACTGTCCTGAACTAACAGAAAATTTGGTTGAGTCAGAAGCTTGAGATCAAGTGGGTAATTTGTCTGGCATCCAAAAACCAAGAGGAAATACTTGAAAAAGCCAATACTTGGTCTTATAAAATGTTGCTGAGTGGATCCTTTGCCTGTAGGAGTCTGAATGGGGAATTTTGTCTCCATAAACATCCCTCCTCACCATCTGCAGGAAGCAGCAGTCCCCAAACCCATTAACCCAGAGCAAAATCACATCAGCAGATAAGAGCCAGCAGGAGATAAGATAGTGTTTTAGCATTATCTTCAAGTCTTGGTAATTTAATTTTTACAAGTCTTTGTCCTGGTCTTCTACTGAATTAGAATATGTGTCTGAATGACGTTTTTGAAGCAGGGCTAGATCTAATTAACTTAAAAATATGACTGATTGACTGCCAAGTGCTAATGGAAGATCAGTTGCAACCTGGAAGGAATTGCAACCTGGCTGGAGTCAGGGTGAGGTTCTTCAGGATCTCTAGAAAGAGGGGGAAAGATGGTATTTGATTGCAATACATTGCAGATACTTTCAAGTACTTATTGTCCATCTTTTCTTTAACTCTTTTCCAACTGGGAGCATCTAACAGGCTGCTTTACCTTTTATTCCCTTCCTTGAATTAAAATTGGGTTTTGCAGTGAATCCTTTGGAAGGATATACTTGACTTCCAGATTTTTTTTTTATTTTTTTTTTTCTCCTCACTGGGAAAATGAGAAAAGCTGTGGGTTAAAACAGTCTCGTGTCAGGGTGAGAACAGGCCCTGCTGTTTATAATTCTTTATTGTTTAATAACAATGTGTTTTTTACTAGAGGACCCTTAGGTACAAAGTTTAGGAGTCATGCAGCTGATAGGAAAGTTTAGAGCTGACTGGCAGTTTATTGGGAAGCTGTTGTTGTCTCATATTCCTATGGGCATATCCAAGACACAACACACTCTTACAAGTAAAGAGTGGAAGGGGAAGGTTCATTATTCAAATGTTTTCTGGTACTGTCTAGTTCTGCAAATCATTAGAAGGATTTAAATTAGCCACAGCATTAAGGGAAGCACTTGCCAACTTGAATTTCAATTGGGTTTTGGACTACCGAGCCTCCTCTCAAAGCAGGAATGTCTGGTTGCAATCTCCCTGCACCATAAATTATTCCACTCTGTGGTAACATGTGGTAGTTTTGAGCTGTTTGGGAGCTGTGGGCTTGTTTTGGGAGGTACAATGTTAGAATTTCTCCAGGTTAAAGCTTCATTTTGTACTTGCACAGTAGTGGAACACTTCTCTATTAGTTATCTATCTTTATCTGTCAAGGTCTAATGTAATTACCAAGTTTTTTTGCTTTTTTCATTGAAAGTGATATTTATATTTCTTGCTTGGACAACAGCAGCTGTGGCATAGGAATCACATGCATTAATTAGGTATTCATACCTGGGTCTCCCTAAAATGTATTTTAGGGCTCTTTTTATTGCTTGAACCGTGGAAACTGCACTGGATACTCCAATAAAATAATTCACAGCAGGGCCAGAAATACTTGGGCACTGCTGGGGATTAGCAGGTAATTAAATCCAGAAGGGCCTTGGAGCTTTAAGTCAAGTTGGCTTTGCTGGGATTTGGATGTATACAATGTACTCAGTGTCCATAGAGAAGCAGAATATTAATTATGAAGTTTGTGCTGTCTCTCTTTCCCGAGACTGAAACTTAGAGGAATTAAAGTTCCTAATTCCCAAAGTTCCCTGGCAGTAACCACTTTAAAGGAAATGTCCAGTTTCTTCCTTTGCCTTCCAGTTCCACTTGGAAGTTGAACCGTGTGATTTTCTTATTTTAATGGCAAAGTAACAGTAACTAGTTTTCTTATTTTTTTATTTTTGTTTTTAATTTTAATTGGAATTAAAATCAAATCACCTCCCAAAGTCCTGTCTTCTTTGATGAGAACGCTGAAGATGCCCTGGATTTTGTGATCCTCATGTGCTTGGAGATCACAGGTTCTGTGGTAGCCCAGAAAAATCACCTGAACTCCAGACCAGCCAAGTGTTTTTGGAAGGAGGAAAACCAGCAGCAGTGAATCAGCTCCTTGGAGCAGCCACTGTGTGTTTGATGTGTTTTCTCTGGAGCTGATAATTAAGTGAGCCCAAGGGTTTGGGAGTGAAAATGCTGCTGCTCATCTGTTGTTCTTTCACTTGACTGGACTCCAAAAGGCTACAAAGACCTGAAGCCTGGTGGTGTGGAAATAGGAAAGTCTTGCCTGTTACTGAGCATCACTTGCCTCAAGGCCCACGGGCAAGTGGTGGGACGTGGGGCTGAACCACCTGCTTGGAGCTGCTGGTGGCTTTGGATCCTCCAGACAAACAGCTCTCCCTGATTTAGCATCTTAGAGCAGTGCTAAACCACCAACAAATTCAGTATTCTCTAGCTCGTAATGTTATAATTCTATTATTTATTAAGATAGCAACATGTAAGCCTAAGCTTAAATGTCTATAGAGTATCTACTCTAGACCAACATTGCTGGGGAGGGGTTTGATTTCAGTTTAAAAGCTGAATTTATGTTGGACTTTGCACCAAATCTAAGGCTTCGAAAGTAGATCGTTCTTAATGTTTCAAGTATTTTGCCTTAAATTATTTAAGCTGCCAAACAAATAAAAAAAGGAGGGTTGCAGCTGGAATAGACTCCCAGCACAGAGGGAGATGAACTATCAGCAATTCCTTGCTAAAACTGAAAAATCACCCGTGTTGTCCTCGCCAAAAGCGTTTTATTTTGTAGGAGCAGGATCCCAAAAACAAATAGGCTGATTTTTCTTTTTTTCCTCCACAAATACCACTGCTCCAGCCCTACATTTTCCTTCTGTTTTCGAGGGTTGGCACGGCTTCAACTCTGCAAACTCAAGATGAAAAAGAGCGAGCTGGAGTTGTCTGTTCAGACTTGAGTGAGCCTCATTCCTGGCATTCCTGCCTTCTGAGGGTTTCTCTGGGATGAAATGCCAGCCTGAATAGGCCTGCACAGTGAGAGCTGCAGCCCCTCTTTATTTGCACAGCAATAAAGGCTCAGTTATTGCTGCTGAATGGGAGCAGGAAATTTCCTTTGTGGATCCTGCAGCCCGAGTAGTTTAAACGGTTCCTGTTTGTTCTGCCAGAGCAAAGGTGTTGGATATTCCTCTTGGCCTCGGAAAATACATTTATCCCAGCTCAGCATCCTTACCAGGAGAGCTCCAGAGGGAAAAGCTGAGGAGCAAAACCCTCAAAGCTCCAGCTGACGGGGTGGGAAGGAGTCTCAGGGCTGGAGGTGGTGACTCTGTGTATACATAAATACGTGCTGGTGGACATATATGGTGTGTTGTATCCCTGGAGCCTGCTGAGTGAGGAGATAGGTATGTGTCTGAGGAATTAGTTTCTGGGTGAGGCTTTTTTTTTTTTTTGAGCCTCCTTTCCAGCCAGCAACCACTTGGCATTAAAGCTCTTCCATCCTGCCCTTACACGCTGGAGCTCAGCGGGGAGATGGGCTGGGCTTTGGCCAGTTTATGGCACATTGTCCTGCAGTTCCTCTGTCCAGGGCACATCCCTTGGCCCCTGGGGCTCCAGGAGGAATAACTTGGCCCTGGGGCTGCAGGATGGAGCTGTAATAGCAGTGCTGGAGATAGCTGGGGAGTAATTAGTAGGGAAAATGCTCATTGGTAGTCCCTGGGAGCGGAGCTGAGCTCCAGTGAGTAGTTTACTACGGGTCACCTCCCTCAGAGTTGTCCCCAACATGTCATTTAGTGCTGAATTCAGTTAACTGTGGTGTGAAGAGCAATTCTTGACAGCTGCCTCTTTGTCAGCTTGACATCATTTATGAAGATGAGCATTTGAATAAAACAGCCTCGTGCAACAAATTACCTTCTGCTACCTAGTTTGGTAAGGCTTCATTCCCCATGTGTTACCCTTCACTTCAAAAACAACATTCCTGGGATTCTTGACTCCTTTCCGTGCTGTAGAAGCTGCCCAACTGAAGTCATACTGTTCACACCATCCCCTGCTCTGCCTTGTGCAACGCCTGTCACTGAAAAACTCAAAGAATTTCCCTAATCCCTCAGCCTCTGAGGCCTTTCAGCCAATTAGTCCCAGAGAGCTGGGAAATTGGTGGCATAATTAGCTGATAACCCCCCAAAAGCTGTGGTTTTGTTGAGTGTGTCCTGTGCTGGGTTGGAGGCTCGTGAGAAAAAAAAAAAAATACAGAAATAAGGGCGTGTTATGAGTTTTAAGTTCCAGGCATGCATTTTAAAGCCCAAGCTCTTGCCCTGTTGAGCCACTTAACTGGTTTAAGCACCTTTTTAAATCAGAAGTACGTTCTCCTCAGGTGGTGAAGCACAGCAGACTTCAGGCCAAACCAGATGCTGGCTTCCTCTTTCTTAGGGGGAAAAAAAAAAAAAGAAGATTTTATTTCCCCAAACCTGTTGCCAGATTCACTAGCTGATTAAAATGACATTTCTGATGTATTTGTAACTCTGCACATCCTGAGCATTCTCAAAGAAAGCCCTTCCCAGCTCTGCAAGTAAAACATGCCCAAAGTGCAATATTGTGCCTGCATCTGTTCCCCCAGATCACTAAATTAGCTTTGATCTCCTTGATAAAAATCCGGTTTATGGGCTAAACATAAACATTTATTGCAAGCATTTATTGGTTTACAGATTAATGAGGCTTTTTGTGACAGACAACTTGCCTGCCTACAGGACTGGGATTCCTTCCTGCTGGACTCCTGCAATAAATGCTTTAAGTGGAAGCAAGAATTTAATCTAAAAATTCCCAATATCCATGACAACTAACGATGCTTTTTTGCCCTTGGAGCTGCTTGTTTTAAATTAACTGTTAGACAAATCAAAACTGCTGAATTTCAAAGCTTTGTGTGGTTTTTGTTTTCCCATGGAAGCACAAGTGTGGCAAATCTCCTTTGAGAAAGCCTTTTGGAGTTCAAGGATTTGCTCTCCCGAGTCAAATCCCTGCAGGTTAATGCTGGGACTTAAACTTAGGCTGACCCTGTTTCCTTCTCCTTGTTGTTGGGAGGCTTTTGGTGGGAGATGGATCACTGGGGTGCCATCACTCTGAATTACTTGGGAAAGCTGCTGCTTTTGGAGGTAAGAAACAATAGGAAAGTGGGGAAAATGAACAATGATGAGTGTTTGGGGGATACTATTCTGTTGGAGAAAAAAACCAGCTGGGTGCTATTAAAGAGTTTAACTGAAAACTTCTCTAAAGTTCCTGAATAAGCTTGAGTAAGTGCAGAAAATAAAATATAAACTAACAGAAATGTTGTTTGTTTCCCTGCAGGGTCTCCTTATTATGACAACGTCCGTCCCCTCTCCTACCCAGATTCTGATGCTGTCCTCATCTGCTTTGACATCAGTAGGCCAGAAACTCTCGACAGTGTCCTAAAAAAGGCAAGTTTTGGGAAACATTTGAGCATAAAACTGTTTGATGTGTTTTCTCCTCTTTAAATCGGTGCTGCTGTTCCTCCACTGGAAGCTTCGCTTTGTTTCTTGGTGGCAGTGCTTTGCAGGGCTGGAATTCGAGCTCTGTTTGTTTGAAAGGGGTGAATTAATTGGAAACAAAAGGTCTGCTAATGGATGTTGAGGGCTGAAGGAAATTCTCATTCCTCAGCCCTTAGACAGCAGGGAGTTGCTGAGGGTGGTGTGAGGTGCAGCAAGGAATTGTCTCTCACATGATGCTCCTGTAAGAGACAGGATTGAGAAACTTGGCCATGTTGTACAGGTGGTTAAAACGTGCCAGCCAAGGGTTTGGACTCCTGCCATGGCTTTACATAATTCCTCAGCCAGTGACAAATCCCTCTGGAAGCCACCAGCAGACCAAGCAGTGGCATAGAAATACAATCTCAGTGACCCAAGATTCAGAGTCAGACTTTCCATGAGGGAAAACATTGAATTTTGATAATCAGGCTCTTGTGTTCAAGGTGGTCCTGGTGCTCCCCTCGCTGAGCATGACTCAACTTTGCACTGTTTTTTAAGGCTTAATGACCTGAAGTTCCTCTTTTTTCTGCAGTTGGGGCCAGTGGTTCTTGTCTCACTGGGATAAAGTGGCATACAATGCTCTGAATAGCCTACAGAAAATGCTCAAAAACTGTTCTCTCAGCTACAAACTGTGCCAAGAACCATCCAGAACTGTGTTTTTATTCTCTCTGATAATGTTGGTTACTGTAAGGTTGCCTCATTGTGTAAATTTTTCTTAATATGCTTTTAAACCCAAATTATAACCTTAGATTTTAGGGATTATCATCTGCTCAGGTTATGCTGTGAAATTTTTGACTTTCTTGCGTTTTTAACCTATTAGGGATTCTCATCTGTTCACATCATGCTGCTGAATTTTTGGCTCTCTTGTGTTCTCAGAATGACTTTGTAGAGAGGGAGGAAAACAAGGGATATATCACAAGGTCTGTCTGAAGGGCATTTTGATGGTTCACAGGTTGAACCTCTGACAGATTTGTCCAGTTCTAGGTGTGAGGATTTAGCCCTGAGCCAATATTTAGCAGTGCTTATTTTGTGGTAGCTCTGTCTTGAGGAGCCACCGAACGTGGCGACACCAGATATCAAAAATCTCTGGCTGGGTGTGAGAAGCAACAGGTCTGCAAACCTTTACTCATGTAGGTAAATAATCTCATTTCCTCTTGCTTAGTAAGTCAGTGGAATGAATGAGTGTGTGAGATACTAAGATTTCATCCCTGACTGGGTTGTGCTGGAGCTGATGCCTTCAGAAATCAGCTCCGAGGCAGAACAATTACGGGAGAATATTTCTGTGTGGGATGTCATGGCTTATTAAACTTCATCTTGTACCTATTGCTGCTTGTGGATTTAAACATTTAACCACCTGGCTTATAACAACAACTTAATTTTACAGTGGAAAGGTGAAATCCAGGAGTTTTGCCCCAACACCAAGATGCTCTTGGTGGGCTGCAAGTCGGATCTGCGCACGGACGTCACCACGCTGGTGGAGCTCTCCAACCACAGGCAGACCCCCGTGTCCTACGACCAGGTGTGTGCCACAGCCTTCCTTGGACTGAAGGGTGGAAGATAAACCCCTTTTCTGTCGCTGTAACCATCTTTAGGAACAATTTCTCCCCCCCTTGTTGACATCCTGGAAGGCAGATGTGCTCTAGGAGGTGAATTCGAAAGGGATGAGCAAAGGCAAAGCCTGCCCACAGATTGGATGCAGCAGGAAATCCTTGCAGCCCCACAACACATCATAGCTTTAAACACCATAAGATTGTAGCCTTATTGGTTGCAAAGAGATTTTTAAATGAATTGTAAATAAACTTAACTCATTCTGCCCCTGAGGACGCCAAAAAGGAACTGAGAGCTGACACATCTTATTTACTGACAGATTGGTAGAATTGCCAAAAATGTCTTAGATTTGAATGGCATTCATTTGACTTGTCATCACAACAGGTGTTTGCATCTAATCTGTCCCTTTTAAAATCTTGATACCTTAAAATACCTGGGAAGGCACCTCGTAGGCCCTCTGAAGGTGGCAGCAAAGCCAGAAAGCACCTTAATTCTTGGAAGTGTTCTGAGCTGCTGGGGAAGTGAGAAGTCTGGAGCTATTAGGGGATAGATAAACTGAGGTGAAAGGGAAAGGAATCAGGTCATGGGAGAGCAGGAATGGGAAAACTGGGCTCTGAGGTCAACTTGCCTTTATTACTCACATGTGTGTGATCACTGCAGCTGAATCACAGTGGTGGTGACAGATCCACCCTGTAGGAGGGAGAGTGGTACCTCCAGAAGCCACTTCAGTGTCTTTATCCTGTGCTATCAACCAGTTTTTGATGTTTTATTCACGATCTGAGATTCCCAAACCAACAGCTCCTAATATGGGATTGCTGCTTCTGCTCCTGCAGCATGTTTAAATTGAGAAATTGCAGTGCTTCAGTAAAATCACTGAGTCTCAGCCCTTGAGTGATCAGGGAGTGATCAAAAATCTGGTGGCAGGTGGAATTTTTCCCCTGGAGGTGGATTGACCCCTGGACTCACAGCTCAGCCTGTACCCCTGAGGAAAAGGAGTCAGCTGAAGACCAAGGGCTGAGCCAGGAGCTACTCCTTGGCATCCAAAGGGAAAATTGTATGTGTTCCAGGGAAGCCCATGATTTCCTCTCTAGTCTTTGTAAGCAAAAGCTTGGACTGAGCAGTGTTTGGTGTGTTTTGGGGCTGCCAAATTCCTGGTGGCACGAAACAAACCCAACACTCCTGCGCTGGGTCCTCCGGGGTCGAGACATGGCTTAATCTTAAATTCCCTCCCCTGGCTAAGTCAACACGGGATCAGAGAGCTTAGTGGGGCTTTCCCATTCCTCTGGAGTTCATAAGGAAGCACTGGGAGGATAAAGGCCTGGTGGTGACACCCTCCTCCTGTGTGTTACCCGCTTCCACTGAGCTACACCTGAGCAAACACTGCCGAGGCTCCACGGCGTGGGTTGGTAGGAGCTGAGGTGTTTGACTGTGGGGAGGGCTTGTCCTGCAAGCCAATACTCCTTTATCAGCCACTCCCACTTCAAATTGATAAAGTGGCTGCATCACTGCAGGGTAAACAGTGAGGATTGACAACTGGGTCTGATGAGGTTGGTGCCATCAGCCCGGCAAAGAGGAGGGGTTGAACCAGCTCATGCCCATGACTGTGTGAGGAGTGGCATGTCAAGGATGTGGTTGGATTTCATAACTTCACCAAAGATTCATCCCCCAGAAGTAAAATTCCACTGAGACAACTCCATTTTTTTCACATAATGCTGTATTGTGTCCCAGGAGCAAAATCCACAACAGGATATTGGGTCATTGTCATCTGTGGGTGTCACGTGTTGTTTTCTTTGTGCTGCTGGAACAAACATCCCTGCTTTGACTTTTAGTGCCCTCAAACTCAAAAAAAGAAGGGCTCCTCTAACCCCTAATGTCCTTTTTTTCCATCTTTTCCCTATTCCCTGGTTAGAAGTTGATAGAACCATCCCTGAGCCAACAGCCCACAGCACATTTCCCTATGAACTTTGCTTTAACAGGGGCAGCTGATTATTCCTTAAGGCCCAGAATCCATTTTTTCCTTGGAGATAGGCTTAAATCTGGGAGCTGCCAGCTCCAGACCTTTTCCAGGAGCATGTAATTTATGGATTCAAGCTGAGGTGAAACTGCTAAAGAGGCCCCACTAAGACTCTTTAGACTTTTTGCTCTTGTTTAGAAGTCACTGAGTTTCTCTAATCTTCCAGTTTCTGTCTAAGTGGTTGGATACTTGTTCAATTCATCCTGGGAAGCAAAACTCACAATTATTTTATTTTGCAAACTTAGCTGCTGGAGCTTTAGCTTTGGTTTTCACCAAAAAAAACCTCAGCACTGAAAAGGAATTATGAGCTTTGCTTTGGCTCCCTCCAAATCTTAGTATTGATCCCATGTTAAGGTGATATTGCTGAAGGTGAAAGTGCTAAATAGGCAAATTAAGGGGAAAGTGCTAAATAGGCCAGATTAAGACTCTTTAGGCTTTTTGCACTTGTTTGCAAGTTTCTCTCCTCTTCCAGTTTCTGTCTAAATGGTTGGATACTTGTTCAGCTCATCCTGGGAAGCAAAACTGTTTATTTTGCAGAATTAGCTGCTGGAGACTTGGCTTTGGTTTTCACCAAAAAAGAAAAAAAATCTCTGCAAAGTAATTATGAGCTTTGCTTTGGCTCCCTCAGAACCTTAGTATTGATCACATGTTGTTTTTTGGGGTTTTTTTTGTGTTTCCCCTCAGGGTGCAAATATGGCCAAGCAGATTGGAGCAGCCACGTACATCGAATGCTCAGCCTTACAGTCAGAAAACAGCGTCAGAGACATTTTTCACGTCGCCACCTTGGCTTGTGTGAACAAAACAAACAAAAACGTGAAACGAAACAAATCGCAGAGGGCGACAAAGCGAATCTCACACATGCCCGGCAGGCCAGAACTGTCCACAGTGGCCACAGACTTGAGAAAGGACAAAGCAAAGAGTTGCACAGTGATGTGAAGGACCTTTGGATTTTCCCTGGAGGAGGAGGAGAACGTCCAGGAGGGGGTTGGAGGCTCGATGAAGTACAAAAGCCGCGTGGTGTTTTAATGAGGGGCTTTAATGGAGACTTCGCCTGGTGGGTGAGACTGTGCTTAGAAGAAAAAAAAAAAAGGCTCTTGAGGTGGCATCAGGAAATGACACGTTGAAGAAAATGCCAAAAAAAGCAAAAGAATAAAAGGGAAACAAAATGTTTGAATGTTGCTGAGAGAAGAGTGAATGGGAAAACAACACTGCAGAGGAGAGATGTCGTGGACAGTGCTCGTTTCTTTTTATTAACGCTCTGCTCCTGGATGCTACCACTTTGATTTCGTTAAAATAATACTTTAATGTTTGGGGTTTTTTTTAAAGGAAGACGTTATTAACGTGCCCTTCTCATTAAGGAACTTACCCCTGTGACCTTCTAGTTGGTTTTCCAAAGGATATGATCTAATTTTTTTTTAGTAGCTCATTGTGAAAATGGAGAGGATTCCGAGGCTCGCGTGTCACCTGGAGGAAGACGCGGTGTGGGAAGAGTCTGGAGTTTTGTGTGATCCACGCTGGGGATGAAGACACCTGTTGGAGGATTCCCAGCATTCTGGGTGGAAATGGATGGAATTTTGGGGGCGTGGGGGCACGGCTCCTGCCCCCCTTGCAGGACTCTGGCTCGCTGTTCCTCTCTGTGGTCGTGGCGTGGGGTGGCAGTGGCCTCCAGTCGTGGTGTTGTGTGTGGGTACGTCGCTGTAGGTCCCAGTGCAAGGTGCTAAGAGCTAGGATTGACTAATGATCCTTGGTTTTACAACCAGGAGAATTCCCTAAAGCCTTACTGCCCACCTGGGGAAGCAGCCCCTCCAGCCTCCTGTGCTCCTGGCAGGAGCTGGAAAGCTGGGAGGGATCCCGGGATAAACCCTGCAGAGAAGGGCTGTTCTGGGATGTGGTTGCAAAAGGAACCCCCCCAAAAAAATCTGCAAATGAGCCAGCAGAGCCAGGGCATCTTTGGTGATGCTCTTCGTTTTGGGGGGGGGCAGCCATCTCCTGCTGCAGATGGGTGAGGAAATGGGGTCTGAAGAACTGTGAGGCCTTAAGGGGTCCCCAGTGGGAACTGGATGCTGCCCTTAGTCTTTCAAATGAACCCACAAGCATCCAGACACCAGTCATGGAACACAGGGGAACCGGTTAAGGCAAATTCCTTTTGGCTTAATGTTGTTCCACTGAATAAATCAGCCTTTTTAAAGTGTGTTTGCAACTCCCTGACCCACTAAACTTGTCTCAAAAGAAGGAGACTCTAAAGCTCTGCCCAGTGTGGTTGCTGCTTGTGGAGGACAAGCATTTCATTCCCAAGGGTGATGCTTCATTTTTGAAGTGTTAAAAGCTGCGTTCACTTGTGCAAAGGTGAAGGGTTGCCATGATTATTAACTCTTAATTAAAACTCAGTTCTGTGTGTGTGTTCCTGGCACTTTGTTTCAGCTGAGAAAAGAAGAAAAAAAAAAAAAACCCACTCCCATTCTGGTTATTTCCCACTAAAAGACGTTTTTGCCACCATAAATAAGCTTTTAACTGATGCAACAGTGCTCTTAGGGCAGTATTACAAAATAGCTGGTAAGTGCTTCTTTCTGTATTTAAATATTGTGGAAAAAAATAAGTTATAACTGTCATAAAGCAGGACATTCATTACTTTTTTTTTTTTAAATTGTTGAAGTCACTTTGTATGTTTGGTTAATGTTTCTGCAGTATTTATTAAAATACCATTTTTTTTTCTTTGAATTAAAAAAAAAACCAAAAACAAGTAATTGCCTCGTAGTGGAAATGGCCTTTGTGTGGTAGTTCATTGACACTTGTGTGATTTGGGCATAATTGTGCTGAGCTACAGGCTGGGAAGGGGGGTGTGATTTGAATGGGAATCATTCTTCCCCTTGAACAGCCTTTTGGGCTCTTGTACGTTATATTTTAGGGTGTAGCGTGGGTTACTTATCCAACTTACTTCCCGAAAATGCCAGAGGAAGAGGAGACTGGAGCAAGAAAACAAGTGTGGTTTGCTTTGCTTTGCCTCTAAAGGTGAATTTTGAAAGGCTTCGTGTGCTCAGGTTGTGCTGTGAGTTCAGCAAATGCTCATTCCCGGCCCAGGGATGTGCCTGTTGTCTGCCACCATTGGGACATCGTGGATGCAGCTGGAAGTTGAGGGAGGAGAGCCTCCAGTTGTCTCACTTCTGGGTCTCCTGAGTTCTGTGTGTTCACTCTGCATCTCTGAAGTCAGGCAGAAATCCCAGCAGTTGTTTATCTCCCTCGTTCTTGTGACATCCTTGCACTGCCCTGATCTTTCTCTCCCATTTCTCATGACCAAGCAGGTTTGTAGATGCTCTAATTACAGGAGTGAGGGGTTAATTAGCCTCATGCCTAAAAATCTCCCTTGTCTTTGACGTCTGAACTTGTCTTGTTTCAGCCTTTGGTCTCTCCAGCTGGTGAGTCCATGTGTCAGATTGATGAGCTCCTGATTACTGAGCTTAAATACACCTTGTAGGTCACTGGTCCAGAATTGAGTCACCAGGAGCCAAACAGATCCACTCCTCCTTCAGTGACTTGGAATCTCTGTCCAGAAAGGGTGTTCCCAATTAATATTTAACTACCTCTGTGGTTCCTCTCAGTGCTCTTGTAGGTTTTTGGTGTCTTTACCAGAACTCCAAGTGCTGGAGGAGCAGCTGGGCCACTATTTCTCCCAGTGGTGCTTTTCATCTTAACCCTTGTGGTCCCACATCACCAGTTCCCCAATCCAGGTTCTTGGTGGTTTTCCTGGCACCTGGCCATGGCACAGCTGGTGTTTGTTCACACTTGGCAGAGGAACATGACCTACAGACCTTCTCCTGGGGTTTGTAGACCCTCAGCAGATCCTCTGTTCTCTCTTTTCCACCCTCTGATCTGCTGCTTCCTTGGGCTTGGTGAGGCTGAGGAGTAGGTTAGGACAAGGGAATAACTTCTTGGAAGCCTCAGTTTTACTTTTGAGAGCCCCACCCCCCACCCCCCAAAGTTTGTAATGAATTTTTGGCCCATTTAATGGGCGCAGCCTTGGTTTTACATCACTCCTGTGTCACACCCAAGTGTGGTCACAGGTCAGATGGGGTGGATTGGGAAGGTACTGGTAAATGTACTCTGAAAACATCCTTAGGCTCCTCCAGAAAGGAGATAAACCCCGTTTTCAATTTCCCAGTGTTAATCACTGCCCTTCTTTAATTCCACCAGCACAGTGGAATTTATTCCCTCCTTTATTTCACTCTGAGGGGACGAAAGATGGAAACGTCTTGATTTATCTACATTTTTCTTTTAACATTAAAAAAGAAAGCTGCTCATTCTGTCCAAAGCCACTAACCTTGCCAAGGTTTCTTTTTCTCTTACTGCTCTCAGTTTTACCATTTCCTTCAGACCAGAACTGCCAGTTTTGTTGTTCACATGAGAACAGGTTTCTTGCCAGCTTTGGCCACTGGTGGTTGAAACCTCTGAGCAGGGGGAAGGCCCCGAGGTTTACCCCTCTAAAACGAGAATGTGGGCTGAGGTGACATGTGCAGGAGGAGCCCAGTTGGATTTGGGTGTCAGTAGGATGATCTACTGCTCCAGTAAGACAATCCACAGCTCCCCAGTTGCTAAAGCGAGCAAGGGGTGAATCGGAAGTATTTCCACTTGTGGACTGGGCTTGGTCAGATGTTTCACTTCAGCACCATTTGATCCCTGGAAAACAACTTTGGCAGGTGGCCATGACCGGGTTCCCTTCCAAAAAGCTCTTCACTTGTGCAATTCCTTCTTTTGGCTCTTTTATGACCCGACCGCGTTGTGCAACCACTGACTGGAATCGCGGCGTGTTCCCGTGCCTCGTCCCCTGCAGCAGATCCCGGGGGATCCCCAGGAGAGCCGTGTTCCTAAACAAGGTGGGCCGGTTTGTGGTGCAGAAATAGATCTGGCAGCCTCCCCACCACGCCGAGGACGTGGGACTTGACACCTCCTTGCTCTGCAGAGTGTTTGTCACGAGCGCGGCCCCCGCGCGCGATCCTTCGGGGCCAGCAGGGGAGGGGGCGGGTGACGACGCCAAACTGAACCTGTCTGAGCTGTGCTGTTGGGTGGATATTTATGGCTCTTTCCACCCAGATTGGGAGCTCCAGAAACTGGTATTTCCACCCAGATTGGGAGCTCTGTAAAGCTCTACACAGACAGTTATCGTGGCACGTTGGTGGATCAGGCTGGTGGTGCTGAACCCTCTGGGCAGGACCTGCCTCTGGGGCTGCTGCAGGTGGGAAAAAGAGCTCAAAAAGGAGACTGAGCCCCTTCCTTGTCTCTTGAGCTGGTTCTTATGGCTGACCTGCAGAGAGAAATAAGAATAACTTGGCTCTTGAGTAGTTTGAAGTTGTCAGTGTGTCATTTTGTTGCCTAATCCTCACGTAGCGGAGCTGCCTCTCCTCGGGGAGGGATTACTGCCTGAAAAGCAAGTCATTAGTACTTCTCAGATCATTGCATTTCTTCCTACCAAACTGCCTTCTCAGAACAAAAGATTTATTAACCTTTTTGCTTTCCCAGGGATTCTCCATCTCTTTTGGCTCTTGTTCTAACTCAGCTTTCCTACAAAAGCCACGGAGAGTTGCAGCAGAGCTGCAGTCCCTGGGCTGCAACAGCAGCAGTTGCCAGTTTTTAAGCTCAAACAGAATGGTTTTTATATCTTTTTTTTACATTTTCCTGCAGCCTGTTCAGCTTCTTCTTCTTCCCAGGAGGCCCTTAAATGTCCTTGGATTGTGTTGAGCCCCAGTGAGGGCGTGCTGGGGACCAAACTCCTGCCACAAGAGCCTTGTGATGGTCCTTGTTCTCTGTCAAGGAGTGATGTTCTACCAAGTGTCTCTTTTGTTTTTTTCATCCTCCCTAAATTAGCTTGGAGGATTAGGGCTGAGAAGCAATCTGAGGAGAAGAGCAAAGATCTCATCCAATTTTCAAAAGGATCTGTGAACAAGGAAGTTTTCCTGCAGCTGCCAAGCGGGGAAATGGCTTTTTCAGCCCGCAGGCTCACACACCTCACAGAAGGACGAATCCTGCCAGCTCCAGCTCTTCCCTGTTTACACACAGCATGGCACAAATTCTGTGGATTCTCCCAGGTCTTTTCCTCTTGCTGTTGAGGTTGGTAAGAAGTTGCCTGTATTTAATTTGCAGAAGGGCTGTCAAAGGGGGTGAATCC